AGAAGAAAAAATTATGGTTACTGACTTTATAGTAAATTCTTTTACTCCCCTATCAACACAATTAAGATCATTTGGTTGCTTTTAAGCACAGGGGGGCTATCCCTAAAAATGCTGTTTTGAGAAATCAAAGGTAAAGTTTTTGCCCCTTGTTCAGTTTCTTTAAAAGACAAGTAAAGTTTTATCTATAACCAAACAATAAATGTACACACCAATAAAACCAAATTTCTCCTATAGGTGGGGCAAAGCCCACTTTTGGTGTGCGTCAAGATTTCTGGAAAGCCCCGAAATCTGGGTTAGCCCGCTGGTCCTTAAAAACGACAATTTAAAACAGCACCTAAGCAGAAAGACAGAGACGCTCGATGGAATAATTGAGTCCCCCTCTCGGAAACCGAAATCACATCTCAAGCAAGCAAAGATTAGAGCGTACCATTTCACCACAGGCGCAAGTAAAGATTTTTTACCCCCCAAAAAAGAAATACTATTATTACTACATGGTCGCTTTTAGGCTAACCCAGATTTCGGGGGTTTCCAGAAATCTTGACCTACACCAAAAGTGGGCGTTGCCCTACCCATAGGAGAAGTTTGGTGACATTGGTGTGAATATTTGTTTGGTTATAGTAGAGAAATAAATTCTCTTTGGCTTTTAAAGAAACTGAACAAGGGGCAAAAACTTTACCTTCGATTTTTTCCAAACAGCATTTTTCGGGTTAGCCCCCTTTTGCTTAAAAGCGACCAATGTATCCGTAGAGAAACTTGGGTCACAGTGCTTAATACCAAAATGATCGCGGCAAAAAGATGGAGATACTCGATAGTACAATTATGGTCGCTTGTAAGGACAGCCGGGCTAACCGGGGGTTTCCAGAAATCTTGACCGACACCAAAAGAGGGCATTGTCCTACCTACAGGAGAAGTTTGGTTTCATTGGTGTATATATTTCTTTAGATATAGATACAACTTTCCTTGTCCTTAAAAGAAACTGAACAAGGAGCAAAAACCGTACCTTCGATTTTCTTAAAACAGTATTTTTGGGATAGCCCCCCTTGCGCTTAAAAGCGACCAAATGATCCCGGCAAAAAGATGGAGATACTCGATAGTACAATTTAATTAGCAAGTTCCCCCACACGGGAATGGAAGTCACGTCTTATGCGTGCAACGGCTGAGAGTCTATCGATCCCTACCACCACAGACCCTGGTAGAAACAACAGAAAGGCTGGTTTTGGTTGTTTTGGGTTGTTGTTGTGTTTTTTTTCAAGTAAAGTGACCGAAGGCACCCTCCAACCACCTCCATTTGAGTTATAGTAGATTGACTTCATCAGAGCTGAAGTAACTATATAAGAAATAATTTTGAGTATTGCCCGGGTGGCGGCTGAAGCCTATTCTTATCGATTTTAGACCATCAAGGGATCTTTAACGTGCGCAACTTGCACACGGGACATCTGAGATTTTTCGCTTCGATTCGAGAAGGCTAGGTATTAGATCTGGACCTTACCTACCATAAGATCAGGGGTGTGGCTGAAATACAGCAGTAAGAAGGAGCCAAGGAGTAGCAGCAGCAGAAAGAGTCAGGAGCCCGCGGGGGCGGGGGGGTGGGGCAAAACAGGAATACGAAAGCAGACGACAGAACGTCATGGTTTGAGAGCAGTTAGAGGTGTTACAAGAGAGTAACAAACACAAAATAGAAGGAGGGAAGATAAGGATGATAGATGTTTGATAGGAAAGAAAGGAGCAAACCACACCAGACCACCCGCCAACCACCTACGGAGAAATTTTTAGAGTGAAAGAAAAATAAAATTTTCCGTCGCGCGCTGTCAGTTTTCGAACCCGAGACCAACTGAATGAGAGAGGCTCCACGCCAACCACCCACGCGTCACATTATAATATCGCTAAAGACGACCTTGTTATGGGACTAGCTAGGAATTCTGGCGATGAAATCCGATCTCCGTCGTTAGTTATTGAGCGCACGAGTAGTCACGCGTGCATGTATTTATTGACTCGACTTGATGTAGCTGTCGCAGGCCCATGCAAGCCACCGTTTCTGTTGAGTCAGCTATTTTTTCAGCACATGGGGACGAACAAACACGCGTGTAATTACGGTTCAAAAGTTTATACTGTGAACACATATACAAGAAACTACTTATTAGAAGAAGGGTGTGGGTGTGTTTGTGTGGGTGTGTGGGTGTCTGTGTGGGTGTGTGTGTTTGTGTGGGTGTGGGTGTGTGTCTGTGTGTGTGTGTGTCTGTGTGCGCGCGCGTGTGTGTGTGTCTGT